GCCAGTTTGATCTGCGAATCTTTCCTTGATTCTGTCGTGAAACTCGAGAGCAGTGAGGGTTTCGATTCTCCATAGAAAAGAGATACGGTGAGATTGGGATGGATAGATGCATGAAGAATCTGTTTGCCAATTAGATTCGCGTCCTAGAATTTCTTGACGCTTTCTTTCTGCATTGTTGACCAATCGTTCTTTGCCTCAGTGCCCTCGCTTGGCATTTTATTTAATTTTCCAGCGACAAGATCAGCAACATCTTGATGTCCAGATAAGTAAGTCGGAATTAGAGATTTCCAGGCAACGTACCGTAAATCCTCCAATAGTGACCCGGGCTTCTATTTCTTCAAATACCTCCGGCGTGGGGCTTCTACTAGGGAGAAGCTACTAGTGGAGGGGAGCTCTTAATGTTCCAAGAGAAATCTTGCTCCGGAAAAGTGATGATGGATTTCTGGGGGAGAGCGTGTTCCCGGTCTGGGTGGAAATCCTTGGGCGCCGCGGTCCAGATTCTATCACGTCAGCTTTTCCTCAGCCGACTCCGGCAGTCCGGGGTCTCCTAGTAGAGAGGGGCTCCTATTGGAGGAGAGCCACTATCGGAGGGAGGCTTCTATTGGAGGGGTGTTACGATCTCAATCAAGATATCGCGCCAATAATGATATTGTGATCCCTGTTGTTCCAGAGCATGCGCTCTAAATTATTCGACTGCTAGAATAAACAGACGTCAGTCCGTTTTGTGGTCACGAACCGTCAGCGCACTCAAATGCTCACTCTGACTTCCAGACGTAAAATCAATCATTAAAGCTCACTGGAGTTTAGTGAAATCAAACAACTGGCGACGAGGAGGAGAATAAGAAACCCGTGTCACTTCGCTCCTACGTTTCGGAAGTCGGAATACCGCTTTCTGAGTTTCTCGCGCACGAAGTGGCTAAGCCTAAGTGAACAGCATGATCAACCGAGAAGGATTCCAGCCATTCCCGGCTTTCGTTCCTGAGACTGAAAAATGGAAATCCTGGACATCGAGGTTAGCTAGCCACCTAATCCTTCAAAAGTGCCAAGACGAAACGGAAAACGGTGCGCTATCATCGCGTATATGGGAAGCGCGGCTTACGCGAAGCTGTATGACAAAATCCATCCAGAGAAGAAGCCATGCGACCTCACCTTCGACGAAATCATCAAGCAAGTAAATCAAATCTACGAACCAGGAGAAAATCTTTCCGGATCAAGAATAGCCTTCCGGAAGTTCGTGCAAGCACAGGGTGAATCGCTGGCAGAATTCGAGGCGCGTTTGCGCAAGTTATGCACAGATTGCGCAAGGAGGGATGCAGAGCGCCAAAAAAAGAGCTGGCATCTGGATGCATAGCGTGTCTCACTCACGCACGAAACCCTCCAAAGATGATCCACAACTGGGAACAAACCTCGTACTGTTTCCAGCGAATTCACCTGGACTACGCAGGCCCTATCGGCAACAAATATATCCTGCTCTTGGTTGATGCGCATTCCAAGTGAGTGGAAGCGTTCGTCACAAATGACAAGACCAGTGCAACTACGCTCAAACATCTGAGGGGGACAATCGCTCGTTTTGGTATTCCGTCAATTATGGTAACTGACAATGATCCAACTTTTGTTTCTCATCAGATGAAGACGTTTTGTGCTGCGAATGGCATCACTCACAAAACGAGTCCAGCAGTTCACCCGGCCTCGAACGTCAGGTCGAACGTTATGTGGCAACTACGAAGACAGCTCTAAAGAAACTCTCATCCGAGGGAGGTGACCTGCAGGAGAACCTAACCAGATTCCTCTATAGACAACACATGGTCATCAGTTCTACTGGGGGATCACCGTCGTCACTCATGCTCGGTCGAGAGCTACGCTCGAGGTTGGACCTCCTTCGAGAAAAACCTCACGCTGTATCAGCCGAAGTCTACAATGACAAGAACGCCAAATTCAAGCCTGCTGAGCTCGTCATGGTGAAAGACTTCAGAGGTCGAAAACCCACATGGATACCTGGAAAAGTTGAACGTCTTCTAGGCAAAACCATGTGGTCAGTGAGAGTGCCAAATGGCACTTGGAGAAGACATTTCAATCAGTTACGAAAGTGCTCGCAGAGTTTGGAAGTTGCCTCGGGTGGAGGATCAGATGAGGAAGATTTCGCGGGAATTATTGCATCCTATGACTCAGAAAATGACGACGACACAGAAGCCGAAAGCTCCTTCAATAGTGTCTCCGACGACCAGGGTCAAGGAGAAACTGACGAACAGGAAAATGAAAGATCCGCCCGCTCTGATCGATCGAACAAGGGTCTACCTCCTAGCAGATACCGAAGCTAACTTTGTGCATGTTCGGGCGATGTGTCTGTATCATGTGAATACATTTATTCCTGAGGAGAAGAAAGAACAAAAATCTCGCGGAGGGAAAGTTGTTACGATCTCAATCAAGATATCGCGCCAATAATGATATTGTGATCCCTGTTGTTCCAAGCATGCGCTCTAAATTATTCGACTGCTAGAATAAACAGAAGTCAGTCCGTTTTGTGGTCACGAACCGTCAGCGCACTCAAATGCTCACTCTGACTTCCAGACGTAAAATCAATCATTAAAGCTCACTGGAGTTTAGTGAAATCAAACAAGGGGGCTTCTTTTTTCTCAAAAGCTCCGGCAGGGGGGCCTCTATTAGAGGGGGGGGGGTGCTATTGGAGGATTCGAGGTAGTTCTACCCATACTCCTCTAGAGTGACTGGGCATTGTGTCGGGGCTTTCTTGTACTCCGGATCTGTAACCTTTGTGCCCGGAGTGGACATCGTGGAACCTAGTCCAAACAAGTGAATGATTAGGTACTTGTTTCTGTAGATTACGCAGAACACTCGTGCTGATCACGTATTCAGAACTGACAAAGAGAACTCACTCAGTATATCCGAACTAACAGATGGTGTTGGGACTTATTTGTTGTGATCGGACGGAACGGATTGCCTGTCGTGGAACTCTACAGCCTGAGTTTTCGAACAAGGGAACAGGCGATTTTTTGGTCAAATCAAGAGGCATGTGCTCTACGCGAGACCGCGCTGGACGAACTCGTTTTATTCTTAGTTTGGTCTGCTATCCATGGGATCGGAACGCGCGCGAGGTTTACATTATGAACATCCTTGACACTCCACACAAAAACGTTCACGTTTCTCCGCTTGAGAGTAAATTCGGAAATTCCCGTTGTGAAACACAACGGGAATTCGAAATTTGAAATTATATACAAGCGCAACATCAAAATACCAAGTATCACAATATGTCATCACACAATCTTTGGATTTTCAGACGATTGATTTGTCTGGTTGATCCGATGGCTCCTGACTAGCAAGCTCCAACGGGATGAGGAGCTGGGCGGCCCGCCGTGACTGCCGTCGATTTTCGAAGAGCACGGTGTGGGTAAGAACTTCACCGTCACGCCCGGGGTGAGCTTCCAGTACACGCACTAAGCGCCATCGGAGCCGCGGGAGGTTGTCTTCGCGTACCAAGCAGACATCACCGACTCGAATAAGGGGTGACCGACGACCATGCGTGGTAATCGCAGAGCGTAGAAGCAATAGGTATTCGCGGAACCAGCGAATCGAGATGTCCTTGAAGAAGTTGGTTTTCAGAACAAGCGCCGTGCGCAAATGGTCGCCGGAAGCCGCTTCGCCGGCACCGAGGGAGCCGATCGGCACCAAGGGCGCGTATACTGGAACGTGTGGCGCACTCCGGAGAAAGTGAGCAGGAGTGAGCGCGGCAGGCGCATCCTTCTCGGATGGGACGTGCGTTATCGGGCGATCATTCATGGTGGAAGTTAGTTCACAGAGAGTCGTACGAAACTCTTCGTCGCCGATGGGATTGCGGCCGAGGGTCTTGGTGAGAGCCGATTTAAGAAGGCCGACACACCTCTCAAAGAAGGGGCCCGAGCACAGTTGAAGCTCCACCCGATGGAGCGACCATTGAGAACGTCGAACACATCAGGACTCTTAACCGAGTTGAACAAGCGCTTGAGCTCTGTTGAGCATTTGGCGAAACTCGTGCCGTTATCTGAGATGAATCCGTGGCAAGACGGGTACGTTGCGAGGAATCTTCGTATGGCTAGGTGGGTTCGTGGAGCCGCCAGGGAGGGCGCCGCTTCCTGGTGCAATCCTCGGGTCGCCTCGCACGTGAAGAGCGCCACGTAGGTTTTGAAAGTGTCCTCCCGGAGCATGGTGGAATAAGGACCACAGAAGTCGAGGCCCGCTACAGAGAACGGGGCCAGCAGAGTGGCCCGGGACTCGGGTAGGGGCTCCTCCACCTGCGAGGCGGGAAGCCCTTGACGACGGCGGCAGACTACACACTTTCCTAGTATAGATTTTATGAGTTGTCGACCACGGACTATCCAGTAGCGTTTACGGAGCTGATTGAGGACCGTATTAACTCCGAAATGAGCATTAACTCTATGCGCATCGACGACCATCAGTCTGGCCAAGCGAGTTTGGCCCGGGACGACAATCGGGTACTTTTCGTCGTACGTGAGATAAGTCGCTAACTCAAGGCGGGTCTTGACTCGGAGGAGTCCATCCTCACAGATAAATAGTTGCAAGCTTCGAAGTACTAGGGATTCGCTCACCATTCCGAACGCACTGGATTTCCTCACGGAGGAAGCTTTGCTGGCAGCCTTTGACGAGGGCAATCTCCGCCCTGCGATAGAGCGCGGACCTTGAAGGCAGTTCTTTCCGGCGTGTGACGTAAAGAAATCGAAGAATGTTAGCGTCGACTCGGATAGCTCTGCTCGCTGTACTGAAGCGCTCGAGGTCGATTTACGGCTCGGTAACAATGGTTGCAGCTACGGCTTGACGCATCTCTGGAGCAACTGGATCTAGGCTGACGGACCCACGCTGCGGCTGCGTAAGGGGTCGCTGATCGCGGGGCAGCCGGAGCCACCTCGGTTCGAACCACCACTCGGAATTCTCGACCAGGGTTGCGGCGGAGACACCACGCGTCGCGAAATCAATGATGTTCGACTCTCCACTCAAGTGAAACCAGTCTTCGGGACTCGGATTGAATCTCCCCCGTTACTGACGAATTGCTTCCAACTACCGGGGCTTGACGATGTAGCCCAGTGGTACGCAATCGTGGAGTCAGTGTATAACAAGGTGCGTTCGAAGTCGAGATTTAGACGCTCCATCAGGAACCTTTTGAGACGAACAGCAATTGGTGAGGCGAGCAATTCCAGCCGCGGCAATGATGGCGAATCCCGGAGAGCGAGCCTCGACCTCGACATCGCCAAGGCGAAGTCAGACGATCCATCCGCGAATTTCGACTCAACATAAGCGGCCGCGGCATATGCGGTGGTGGATGCATCTCCGAACAGGTGCAGGAGATGGGCGACCGGAACATCTTTCCGGCACGAATATCGTCGCGGTATACGAAACCGTCTGAGCTCCACGACCTCGGTCATCCATCGCTTGAGGTCGACATGAATGGCGCCGGGGATCTTATCATTCCAGCCCGAATTCCGAGTCCACAGCCGCTGTATTAGTTTCTCCCCTCGGAGAGTGACTGGCGTGAGCCAGCCAAGGGGGTCGTAGATAGAGGCGACTATGCTTAGGACCTGGCGCTTCGATGGAGGACTTTCGGGCGCTGGGCCGTCAAACAACGAGGGTGTTTTGAACGAAAAGACATCCTCTGACGGGCACCAGGATATACCCAGAACCTTTAGGAACTCCGCGCTCGACGAATCGAAATCGTCGGGCTGAATGCCGGTACCGAGCAAGTGACTCTTCGGCTCGGTGGAATTGGATTTCCACTTCGCGAGGTGCATGCCTGCGGATGCGAGCGATTGGCGAACTTTATCGGTGAAACGCTGCGCGCGCTCGACATCTTCGAAACTCTGCAGAAGATCGTCGGCATAGAGGCTTTTTGCCAGCTCCGGCACCGCTGGGTCGCCCTTTTCAAGGTGATGTCGGATCGTGGCAGCCAAGAGGAAGCCGGAAGGAGCGGCTCCCTGTTGAGACGAGCAAATATTTGACTTTGTGCTGTAATCTAAATAATTCTTAAGAGAGCCCGCTGCGGTAGATAATAACCCCGATAAGAGGTATCGTTCAACTCGAAGAATAAATGCGCGCACTCGAGCCGAGTAAGCGTATGCGTGAGCAACTGACGCCGCTCTCATTCCTAGAAATTCCCGAAGTTCGATCATAAAACACTTAGCTTTGGACTTAGTTTTTTTTTTTTGGTGAAGCAGCTCGCAAAGGGATGACCCTATAATTCTCAAAAGGAACTGCGAGTGCGAAAAGGGGGAGGGGGACTGGGGGAAGCTAGGAGGAAAAGGTGAAAGAGCCATAGGAAAAAATGCATTGACGCACTACCCAGAAGAGTGGAAAATTCAACCGGAGTGTGGGGCTCATGTACATAATACCCACTAAAAAAACCTATGGCTCTTTACCTGAAGGGAGAGAGCGGATAGTGTTGGATTTGAAGAGTTTCGGATCGTACGTTGGAGGGAAGACATGAGGGGGAAGGGCATTCCATAGACGGGATGTACGGGGGAAAAAGGTGGAGGCGAAGTGAGCAGTACGATTGGAGGAAAGTTGGACAGAGTAGGGATGCTGCTTGGTACTCTTTCTGGTTACACGGGCGGGGACCGAAATAGGGGGAACGAGGGAAGAGAATTCATCTGAGCATTCTCCATGGAAGTATCGATAAAATAGGCAGAGGTCGGTAACGTTACGACGTGAGGATAAAGATTCAAGAGAAGAGGATATGGCTGAATCACCGATGAGACGGATAGCACGTTTTTGAATAGAGTCCAGGATAGAGAGGGATGAAGGAGCGGCTTCACCCCAGATATGCGAGCAGTACTCAAGAGAGGGACGGATTTGGGTTTTATAGAGCAAAAGAAGGTGAGATGGAGAAAA